GTAACATTAATCGAATGCCAGCTCAGTGGCAGGAACTTTTGCTTGGCATCTTGTCTCGGGCATCGTGGTTCGTTAGGCCGCTGTGGACTGGCATGCGCCCCGACCACTTTCCACATGGCTTCTGTCAGGACAGTGTGGTCTGGGAGCTGAGCCACCGAACTTCCTGGGTATTTATAGGACTAAAACGTTTGCATAGTGTGTACAGCCTGCGAAACTGTGTAGGTCAAAGATGGTATGTGTGTTGCTGGGTTCTGCCATCCATGCCCTGCATGCAGCAGGTTAACAAATACCTGGAATTATCTATCGAATGGGCATAATTAATAGTATAAACACCAGTACCAGTGAGGGCTGTCCATTGTCAATTTCATAGGTGATCAGAAGTGGAGAGAAATCCCTGTAGCTGGGGTGATCCAGGAAGACCTCCTGGGGGAGGAAGACTTTGAGCTGAGCTTTGGAGAATGATTGTTAGCCCCTTTTGGCTCTATTATTCCCAAAAAACCGTTGGTCTCCTTTCCATGGCTGCTGTGGGAGTCAATGCTGAAGGTGTGTGCCTCCATTGAGGCTGGGCTGGGAGAACCTCTGTGCCTGGAGGGCCTTTCACGTGCAGAAGTGCGGCATCCCTGGACTAGGTAGGAGAGCATGGAGAACTCTGGAGAGGGGAAAGTACTGGGTCACGCACGCTCTGCTGATGGCCAGGGATCTAGGAGGAGCTGGGCAGGCATGAGTTTTCTGGACTCCTGGAGCAGTGAAGGGACTCTAAGTGTTGTCCTGGCCAACCCCCTCCTTTCTGGAGCGGAGAAACTGAGGCCCAGAGAGGGAAAGTGACTTGCCAAAGTCGAATGGGAGCTGGTGACAGAGCTGGGATGGAAGTCCAGGGCTCCCATCCGCCCGCCCCTACCCCCATCACCGTCGCTCAGTGCTCCTTCCGATGTATGATGCTGCCTCCTTTCTTCTTTGCCCTTTGACCTCTGTGGGGTTATGAGTCCTTGGACTGGGTCAGCGTGCATTCTTTAAGGCCTGTTCATGCCAGGCACTGACATGTGCAATCTGATAGCCTCCTCTGCCTTCCAGCCCTAGTTTAGGGGCAGAGAAAGGGCTTCATTCAAATGTGGGACTTTGTGTGAAGGGGAAGGAGTAAACTGAAGGATGGATAGATATGTGTGCCTGTGTGTGTATATTTGATTCTTTTTTTCTTAGATATAAAAGTAGATCTAACATTAAAAAGCAAGTAGAATGAGAGAGGAAGCCCTATTATTGCCAAAATTGTATAGAGACTGCCCTTAGTTTATATGTGCCCAACTCGGGCAGGTGTTCCCTGGGAGATGGCATCCTTGGCTGTGCGGCCTCATTGCCTCCTGGAGCTCCTGCTGGAAGTTCCTTCATCTCTTTCTTCCCTTCCCTGGTGCCCCGTCCTTCACTGCCTGCTGCCTTTTGGTGGCTCCCTGCTTTATTGTGGCTTCTCCTCTCAGCAGCCCAGAGGGGCAGGGAGAAGTAGGATCATGGGGGACCCCTCTTCCTTCTCCCTTCCCTGAAATTCCTCTTGTCCTCACTTGCAGTCCCATGGGGAAACTCCCACACTATTTCTGGGAAGGACCCCAGGCCAGGGGAAGACTGGGAGATGCTTGGCTCAGTTCCTGGTGGACAGGCGTGGGCTCGGAAAGGCTGCTGGGGCTGGAACTGGAAGCCATTGTCTAGGACAAAGCTCCTTGTCACCTCTGTGAGCCTGTGTTCTTTTTAAAGGGTGTGGAAAAATGGGGTACCTGGGCCATCTCACCCATTCTTACCAACAGCTTGCAGCTGTGAGCAGTGGAGCTCTTTTTAGATAGAGGTTTGGCTCAGAGTGTGCACCTGAGTGTACCCAGCAGGAAGCAGCTCCACCCGGCCTTGCATAGCTCGTCATCTCTAGGGTCCTCAAGCCCATATCCTAGGGCCCGGGTCTGCATTCACCATTCCTAGCCTCTCAGCTACAGCAGCAACCCTGGGCCTGGGGTGCTGTCTGTGCGGTGGCCTGAGCAGGAAGTCCCCACTGCCAGAGCCGAATGTCCACATGGGGAGCACTGGCTTCTGTTCCGATTGGCCTCTGGCTAATGCATCAGCCTGGCTTGAGGGTGGGCCTGGGGCCCACTTAGGGCTGAGATCTGGGAAGATAACCACCCTGATGCCAGGAGAACACAGCCCTGGGAGGCAGGTTCTGACTCTTGATTCAGGAAGAGAAAGGCCCAGCGAGGGAGAGGAAAGAAAGCCAGGGAGAGGAGTGTGTTGGGTAAAGGTGATTTGCTCTTGACTCCTCATTTTCTCTTGGCTGTTTCCTTGGTTTTCAGAGTAACCGTGAGTCATTCTCATCCTTAAACCTTGGAAGGCCCTGCTGTGGGATGGGATCACCGGAATTCCTTCTGTGGGCTGACGTGTGTGTGAAGCAATGTCATGTCTCAGATTCATTTCTGCGACATAGATGTATTGAGCCCATCCCTGTGCCAGTGGAGGGTCTGGTGGCGCGAAGTCTAACTCCGTGCGTCATTCAAGGCTCAGCTCAAATGGGCCTTCTCTGGTTTCTCAGCAGGACGCGACTGCTCTACCTCTCGTTGCAGAATATCCTTATCAGTTATTTGTTACAGCACTTCCCACCTGCCTGCCCCAAACTTGCCAAGGAGAGTCCAGGCTTGGTCAGCTCTCCCCTCTAGGGCTTCATGCGTGTATTGTTCTCAGTTAGAAAGGCCACTTCGCCCTGGCCAGGTTGAATGGCTGGGCCACGCAAAGCTCCCAGCTTAGGTCTTTCACAGCCTGGAATGTGCTGTGTGTGTGGGAGTCTTTATTTTTTATTTCGCCATAGGAATGTGGAAGATCGTCTAGGGTGAGAGAGAAAGCAACAAGATAGACCTCTCAGAAGCTTCACCATACTGAGAACAGACAGTATGTGGGAGTCTTTTCAATCAAGTTTCTGTCACCATTGGTGCAGGAGGGGAGCAAAACAGACTGGTGTGTCCGCTTCACTTCTGAGATTTGTTTTCTGAAGGCCGTGTCTTCCACCCCTGGACCTGGCTGGAGGGCCTGCTCAGGCAGGCCTGGGAAATACTTCCTGAAGTCTCTCCCCAGCTCTGCCTAGACAGCCATGGCAAAGCTTCAGGGAAGTGGAGAGAGCACTTTTATTAGCGAAATCATAATAAAGAAGACATAAGCAAATAAGGAATAAACTGTGCTCATGGGCAGAAGACCTGATTCAGTTCTGTCCTAAGGGATCTGTGGATTCCACGCAGCTGTAATCAAACCCCAGCAGGTTTTTTCATGGAACTTGATAAGATGATTCTACAATGTATAAGGCAGAGTCAAGCCCCAAGATACCCAGGACACTTCCAAAAAAGACAGAAAAGAGGGACTCGGCCTACTAGATGCCAAGATGTGTTTTAAAGTTCTAGTCACGGAAGCTTATTTAGGGGTAGACTGACCAATGGAAGAGGCAAGGAGATGGAAACCAAGTGGGGCACATATGGCACCTTAGTGTGTGACAGCGGGGTCACAGCAGTGGGGTCACCAATGGGACAGGAGGACTGGTTGATGAATGGTGCTTGTTACACTGCAAAGCAAAGCAGGCTGTCTCCAGAAAGGTCATGGATCAAGGATGGCAATTAACTGAGTTCTCTGCACTTGATCTCCAGTTTTCAAAAAGAAGTCAGGGTCAAGCAAGATTTGACAGCAAAGTACCAATGACAAAGACCAGTGAGTAGATTCTTTGTTGGCAGTAGGAGGCAGCCTCTGCAGCTTTCTCAAGGGCTGGCTTTATTTGGGATTGAAAGAAGCCCCACCCCTCAAGCTCAGGCTGCCTGGAGTTAGGACAGGGGCCAAGTTGATGGCGCTGGGCTTCAGGGCCCCCAAAGCCTAGAATACTGCCCTGTAGTCCTGGAGGCGGGCCTGGCGCTCTCCAGGGAGACACAGTGTCCCTTGTATCAGTTTGGGTTGGGGGCACTGTCAGCGCCTTCTGGATCTGGTCTGTCCTGCTTTAGGGGCAGGAGGGTGGGACTACAGGGACTGAGCTCTCTGAGGGGTGGGGAGAGTGGGAGAAGAGGTTTTTTTCTCCTGAATGAAGTCGGTGAATATTAATCGAGCCATAGAGCTAGTGGCAGGATGACTAGGGCACAGGATTTTTTGTTAAGCGTGGTCTCTACTTTCGGAAAGTAACAATGTGAGAGTCGTCACGGATGGTGCCCAACTTGAGACACCTGAGATCTGCGCTGTCCAAGGCCACGGCCGCTAGCTACGTGTGGTCAGATTTAAATTAATTAAAATGAAATAAAATTAAAAGTTTAGTTTCTCAGGCACATAAGCTGCATTTCAGTAGCTTGTTAGTCACACGTAGCTAGTGGCTACCGTACTGAATGTAAGCAACATCACGGAGTATTCCGTTGGCACCATTATATTTTGCAAAGACATTACAGGGCAGCTCTCTCCCAGGTCTTTGCAAAAGGCTGGTCTGCAGGTCTTAGCGGCAGGACAGACGGACAGGTTTTTGCTGTGAATCCTGATGACTCAACATGTCCTGTGATCCGTGTCACTCACTGAGCCTGGCCTACAAAGTGGGACTCGTCATTTCCGGGGTGTGTGAGGGGGTGTGAAGTTAAGGGAGATGATGCAAGTTGAACACTCTGCAGGATGCTGGCAGAGCGCAGTCATTCTCTCAGTGGCATCAGGCTTTACTGTACTACAGGTGAGAAATGAGACTCAAAGGGGCAGTGACATGGCCAAGGTCACTGAGCTAATAAATGGAGGCTCAGAATCCCAACTCCTGTCTCCTATCTCGCCTCTACTGCTCCTTCCAGCCCCGATCTGGGCAGAAGAGAAGCTGGCAAGAGTGAACTGAGTAAGAGGCAGTCTGCAGGCGGCTCCGCCCAGAACTGGGCAGGTTGGCCTGGGGCAGAAGGCTGACGGGTGTGAAGCCCAGGGTTTTCCGGCTGGGTGCAGGAATGCTGCTAGCCCCATCTTATTTAAAATCTCCCTCAGGCCTTGGAATTTAGCTACTCCCCACATCTTCACACTGGAAACTCAGAAAGGAGCTTTGTTTGGGCCCAGCAAAGCCCTGGAGCCTGGAGTGCCCCATGAGATGGCTCTGGAATGAATGAAGCAGTTCTTGGGGCCTTCCAGGAAACACTGGCTCCCCGGTAAGCCCATCCTGATTTCGGACAATTCCTGTCTTCCCCTCACTTTTGTTCAAATTCCCTGAGTCCTCTGTCCCGCTCAAGAGTCGGGATTGCGGCTTGCTTCCGGTAGACGGGGGTTTCTTCTCCTTCTTTGTGCCAGGAACGTTTCACTTAGAAGTTAACTTAGAGGTGAAGGTGTGACCTTTTTTCCATACCCAGTCACAAGACCCCCTGAATTTCGTCCATAGGACTGCAGAGGTCATTTCTAGCTTCTCTCAATCTCCCCTCCCCCAGTCTTACCCCACGTCTAATCCTGAGACCCCTTGTCAGGGCCTGGAACAGAGCAGGTGCCTGGTTTGTGCCTTTTGTAGTGAGAAGGGGCGGTTCAGGTCCCCTCTAAGTGCAGACTTGCCCCAGCTGGGGGTGAGCTAGTCGGTGGAGGGGACCAATATCAGATGCTTCCTGAAGGAGGAGGCACAGGTGCTGGAATGCCTCACAGGGCCTCCTGCTTCCCAGTAGCTGCATGGAGCCGGGCCTCTCCCTGCAGAGGAAGAAGGTGGGTCCCTGGCTGCAGGGCTCAGGGGGGACTTCCAGGCCCCTTTCACGCTGGGCTGCAGGGCTTCTCTGCAGCCCGTTTAAGACACCATGTGCCTTGCAAAGCCTGAGGCTTTGGTCCTGGCCTGTAGGTCACCAGCAGCATATTCTTTTCTGCTTTGGCCCCAAATGGGCATGGCTGCGGGTCCTGCCCCCAGCCCTGTTTAGCTGAAGCTGCCCTGCTTGACAAATAGTCTATTTGCTTCCTGTGCAGGAGCTGGAGTGGCTGGCCGCCTGGTGAAAAGCTATAATTAGCAGAGGAGAATGGATGTGATTGCACACTGGCATTGACAGTTCATTTTATATTCAGATGGAAACATAAACGGATGTCATCAGAGATGTAAATATCATTTGGAAATCTTGAAGTTTCTGGGAAGTGTTATGCTGCCCTCTCCCTGAGCCCACTGCCCCTCAACTATTTGAACAAAGAGCCCAAATCAGCCTGAGCAGTATGGGGAGCCGCTTTGGGCATTGCCTGCCAGGTCTCTGGAAGGGCTGGGGTGGCAGCACCTTTGGGTGGACCCGGAGAAATGGCCTGTGATGGCTGCGTACACAGTGGCGGGGAAGTCAGGAGGCTTGGGTTTGCATTTGCCCTGATCGCTTTCCCACAGCTGGAAATGTGGCAAGGCTGCTTAGTGAGGGAAGTGCAGTGCTTTGCAACAGGAGGGGGATCCGAGGAAGTTTTGTTTCCTGCCAGCAAGGCTGTTCCGAAGTGGGCCCCGGGGCTCTGGGGAGCTTGTAAAAACAGAAGAAGCCACTGACTGCATTTATGGAGAGGGCTGGGGTCAGTTCTGCCCAGAATTGGCGCCAGTGACAGCTCTCGTATTTTGGAGATGGTTTCCAAAGCAGGACACCTCACCTCAAAAGCATGGGGGGTGGGGGATGAGTGAGGGAGACAGGCCAGGGCCACGGCCACGTGCTGAGAATGTGTTTTGTTTTGTTTTGTTTTGTTTTTACACAACAGGAAGACCTCTCAAAAGTATATGAATCAATTCTGAAAGTATTAAGATGTTCTGCTGTTGGTTCAGTGACAGCATCACTTTCATCAAGATGGAAAATGAAACCCCATTTCCGTTCACCTGAAGTTCACCTCGTCCTCGCATAGTTCAATCACTCCCTGCCCAGCCGTGAAGACCTCACTTCTCCGTGGGGTTCTTCTTCAACCACAGTCCTCAGCCTTGAGGTGGAGGGATGTCTAGGCTCTGTGTCTGGTTCAGGGTTAGGCTTGGGTGAGTGATTCCTTGTAAGTGCAGTAGTTCAGAAGAGGGGGATTTGGCTTTTTAAAGCTGCTTGCCCTTGTTCTCAGAGGACCCCCGAGCTTAAATGGACCTTGAACAATGATTTCGCCATGTTCTGGGTTGTGGAGCATGAACTGACCAGATAGCCTCCGGTTATTCTTCCTCTATCAAAAGTAGCTTCTATGTCCTGTGCTCTCCATTGTCCTGTGCAGGGCTCTGCCTGTGTGGGTCCTGCCTTATAAATTGCAAAATTTACCCATGTGGGCAAATTTGATGACATCATTTTACTCACAGTTTTCCTGGTATGGACAACTTGTTAGTAAGTGGCTTACCTCCGAGTTTGTCAATGCCTTCAGCACCTCCTGGCCTGTGTGTATTGGAAAGACTTTCCTTTTAGCCTGGGAGAGTGGACCCCCATCATCCTGGATAATTTTACAAACCAAGGGAAGGGTGCTTAGCTGTGAACTACAGCAAACTGCCGGGCCTGAGGGCGAGGCCATGGCTTCCTGCTAATCCCGTTCTCTGGTATTTCTGAGTAGCTTGGTCTGTTTGACTTCTCACATCCTTGCCATTTGTCAAAGCTTAAGCCTTAAGGGAAGCAGGTGCTTCCCTTTACCCGGGACAGTCCTGGCACTTTTTAGAAGGAAGTCAAGGGCATCTACCTGGAGGGTGTGCTCTAGCCAGTTCAGGGCCAGGGCAGATTCAAGGGCATCAGTGCTCAGGGCCTGCCTGGCCAACACCTTGTCTGTACATTGCTCACATCTTTTACCGGGACCGTAGCTGACAGCACCGTGGCTTTTGCTCCCATATTGCCTTCTGCTCAGTGGAGACGTTCAGTGTCTCTAATGATTTGCCCCTGTCCTCGGAATGTGTGGCCCAAGAAGTCAGAGTCCTTGGCCAGGCAGGAGACCGGGTAGGCAGCATGGACCTGAAACCCAGGGCGATCTCGTTGGGAAGCCCAGCTCGCATCCGTTCCATGGACATGGGCTGCAGACGCTGACTGTACTTCCTCAGTGTCAGGGCTGCACTGGGTGCTGGGGGTGTCCGAGATGGCTGAAAACATCCCCCTGGGGTGGAGCTCATATTCTTGTGGGGAAGACAAATAATTAAAAAATAATAGGAAAAAATTTGTATGTTAAATGCTGGTAAGTGCTAAGGGAGAGAAATGAAGCAGGGAAATGGCATCAGGAGTTTCAGAAGGCAGGGTTCTTTTTTAATAAGGTGGCCCTGAGAGGTCACCTTATTGCGCAAGGGCAGGCAGGAGGTGAGGGAGTGGGCTGTGTGGGTTTCGGGAGGGAGAGCGTTCCAGGCCGCTGGAACAGTCTGTGCAAAGGCCCAGGTTCCCTGACCCTCTGCAGGGTATTTCCCCTGACTCACCAGTACTTTTCTCTGAATTTCCAAATAGGGTCTGTGTTAGTTTGCTAGGGCTGCTGTAACAAAGTGCCACAGACTGGGTGGCTTACACAACAGAAACTCTTTGTCACAGCACTGAAGGCTGGAAGTCTAAGGTGAGGACGTTGGCAGAGTTGGTTTCTGCTGAGGCCTGTGTCTTTGGGGTGTAGGTGGCTGCCTTCTCCCTGTGTCATCCCATGCTCTTCCCATTGGGTGTGTCTGTGTCCTAATCTCCCCCTCTCATAAGGACAATAGTCCTGGTGGGTTAAGGCCCACCCACAAGACTTCATTTGAACCGATTCACCTCTTTAAAGGCCCTGTCTCCTAATACAGTCACAAGCTGGGGCACTGGGGTTAGGACTCCAGCGTAGGAATTTTAGGGGAATGTAATTCAGCCCCTAACAGGTTCCCTCCCTGTATGGTCAGCTGGGGCAGGCCCCTCTCCACCATGGCAGGTGCAACAGCCCTCAAACAAACTCTTCGGAGGAAAAGCAAGTGTCCTCCAGTCCTTCTTGTCTCTCATTCCTTGCTTTCTGGCTGCAGCTGATCGGGACCCTGGTCCTGTCTGTGGGGATCTATGCGGAGGTTGAGCGGCAGAAATACAAAACCCTCGAAAGTGCCTTTCTGGCCCCGGCCATCATCCTCATCCTCCTCGGAGTCATCATGTTCATCGTCTCCTTCATCGGCGTGGTGGCCTCCCTTCGTGACAACCTGTGCCTTCTTCAAGCGGTGAGTCGGCCCCTTGCATCCCTCAGTGGGCCCCCGAAGTGGGTGGGGAGACGAAGACTGTCCCATGGTCTTTAGGCAGCTCAGTTTTTTCAGCCCTGGTCTCAAGCCTGCTCGCCTGGAGGGCGTCCTGGACGAGCGTGTCTGTCCACGCTGGCCCTAGAGCCCGGGCCACCCCCACTTCCATATAGAAAGGCTGATTTGAATACCCTCCTTACTTACTTGCTAAACCCTGCATTGGTCTAGACTGTCAGTTGGAATTGGGAGCAACCACACTCAAATAAGAGCAAGTAAAACCAAAAAAAGTTGGTGGTGAGTTCTCCATTCATAAAACCAGCAAACCTACACAGGGTCCAGGGCTGTAGACAGAGCCCTTGGGCTCTCTCTCCGGCTCCCAGCTGGGTGCCTGGCATTGTCCTCATTTTCTCTTTGCTGCGGTCGTCAGCAGCCTCAGGCCAAAGGAGTCCTTATGGCTCTTGATCCCAGGGAACCTGTCCTGGTGACTCTGGCCAAAGTCCCAGGACTCTGAAGGGCCCTCCCTGGGGTCAGGGGTGGGGTCAGCCCCACCTGCCTCCCTTACTGTGGGGTAAAGGGTGGCTCCCAGAAGCGGGGCGTACCAGTAGGCAGATGCTTTTGCTCTGCACCCACATGTGTGATTGACCTCTTTGTCTTCCTCCCTCGGGAAGTCCCTAAAATCTCCTCTAAGCAGGGCCTCAGGGCTGCCTGAGGCTGAACCTTGCTGGCCTTGGTTTGGGCCATGCCTGGGGCAGGGATGGGGTTCACATCCTCTACACCTCAGACATCTGTCCCTCACCCACTCTGGGGGTCTGGGAAGCCGCTTCTCAGGGGCTCTGCCGGCATAGCTGGAAATGCTGCCCTACCCTGCCCATTAAGCCAGGCCTGTCCCCTCTGGGGCAGCCAGAGCAAGGACCAGCTCTCTTTGTGGGGGCTGGGAGAGCGGGTGTGTTTTTCCACCTACATCCTGCTGAGGAGCCTTGGGACAATCCTCAACAACAGTCTGGCTTGGACAGCTGAGTCATTCTTCCTGACCATCGGCTCCAAAGATGGGCTTTGCCCCAGAATGTCTGTTCACATCCTGTGTCCTCATGGGAGGAAGGGGCGACAGGCCCCAGAGCAGTAAGAGCTCCAACAGATGATTCTCCTGATTGCCCTTGACCTCTGCCCCTCTAGGTGAATCTCTGAATTTTGTTTTTCAGTTTATGTACATCCTTGGGATTTGCCTCATAATCGAGCTCACTGGCGGCGTGGTGGCCTTGATCTTCCGGAACCAGGTGGGCCTGTGGTGCATTTATCAGCCCTGACTATGCTGAGCACACAGTGTGTGTGTGTGCCCTGGGCTATAAAACTGGGCGTGTGCAGAGAGCAGGGTATACAATTCCTCGTGGAACAATTGTTTTGCTGGGGAGATGGGCTCTGGAAAAGGAAACCAGGGAACAAGAAAACAGGACAGGGTGGTGGGACAGTGCCTGGGGGTCAGATGGGGAGGCCGATAATGGGATGATGGAAAGGAGCCTTCCAGGCGAGGCTCAGAGCGGGCAGAGGTCTGGGCAGGGGGAACTGCTGAGGCAGAAAGGAGGTTGGCAGGTGTGTGGACCAGTGTGGACACCACCTGGCTGAAGGGCGTGAGTGTTGGGGAGGGATGGAAGGTGGAGTTGGAGTGCTGGCAAGTGCAGATAACCCGGGTTCTCAGGGCCCGTGGTCTAGGACCTGGGAATTGTCTCTGATGGCAGTGGGATGCTGTTGCAGAATTATACGGGGAAGTGATGTGATCTGATTTACATTTTACTCATTGCGAGGTGGCGTGTGGGGAGACCAGGGATTTTGAGTGTGTTTTGGAGGCAGTGTCAGTAGGACTTTCCTGTGCTGGGACATAAGGCCGAGGGCAAGAGGAAGGCTGGAAGCCCCTGTGGTGTCAAACCCGCTGGAAGGGTTTGCAGAACCAGGGCCCCTGTGAGCTGGAAGGGTTCCCAGGACTCCAGGCCTCCCAGTCCTTCCATGGCAGGTCAGGTAGCCTCGTACCAGCTGTGTGACCTCGGGCAAACACTTAACATCTTGCAAGCCCCCAGGTTCCTGGCTCGTGGAGTTTGGGGCGAGGACTTGATGAGGGAATGTATGTGAAGAACCTGGCATGGTCCTGGCCCCTACTGGACCCTCAATACATGTTAATGCTTTTGTCCCGAAGCCTGAAGAAGAGAAGGGACTTGCCCAAGTCCCCATAGGAAACTAGTGGCTGAGCAGGGCTGCCTGCCAGATCAGAGATCTGTCATTTCTCCCATAAATTCCTTTGTCTTCCTCTGGCTTTGACAATGGAGGCAGGGCTGGAGGAGCAGGGCCTGTTTATGGGAGCTTAGCTTGCTCTGTCCACTCCCCTGCCTCCACCCCTCACTGCCCAGACCACTTGGTTCCCGGCACCCCCGGGCATCACCATGGGGTGGGTGCATCAGGGCTGCGGCCAGACTGTTGTCAGAAGTTGAGCCCAAGGCAGCAGTCGCCTTCCCAGACCCAGCTTCCCAGACACTGGGTTGTGCAGACTCTTCAAACGAGCCAGTGACTGACTCTTGCCAAACTCTTCACGGGTGCAGCCGGTATTCTGGCCCAGATGGGAACAGGGAACAACCTGTTCTGCCTGGGTCTCCAATGTGTGGGCTTTAAGCATAGGCCTGTCTGCACCCCTGGAGTCCAGGGGTCTTCCCATTTCATGAGGCCCAGGAGAGGGGAGAGGAGATTCCCATTATATCAATGAAGTCAATAAGGCACAGAGAGGTTAGGGAACCCTCCCAAGAGCACACAGCAAGTCAGAGGCAGCTCAGTCTCTTTTTTAATCCTTTTTTGGTCTATTTCTCCCA